AACAAGCCACCTGCTGGCCCCCATAGGATACATCTTCCAAGTACCATTAGAATGAAGAAAAGAGTGTGGCTACTTTATAACTACTTTATTCTTCCTATGTCTCTAATTTTTTTCTTAGAGAGAGATTTTTGCTATCGGTTGAATGCACTTGCCAGAGAGACAGAGAAAGAAAGTGAGAAACCAGCCCCCGGGGGGATGGCCACACTGCAATCCTTTCTCCTCCATTCTCCTCTCAGGATCTTAGGCATGCATGCACGTATGCCTGGTGTGAGTTTAAAGTCACCAGGTCCAGGACTTGAAACACAGTTGACTACATGGGAGGCCAGTGACATAACCATTACACCATCTGCTGCTGGTCTCACCGATGTCTCTAAAATTTAAGTCAAAGCAGTGACTCCTGAAGACATATTTGGCAGTGGCTCTTCTAAAGAAACATTCTAAGCGCCAGGCTGACCAGGTTAATATCCCAGCCTTGGAGCTCTAACCAATGGCCTTGGGCAGACTACCTACACCACAGAATTCTGCACATTTATTTACTATTTAAATCTAAATTTAATAAGTAAATTTCTCATTACTCATAACTTAATTCCATTTTTTCACAAACTTTTTAAAGGCCCTTTGTATAGTTAGGTATAAATCTAACACTTCTATTTTATTTAAATCAACTTGGACAATAAAACAATAATATTTGGCTCCACAAATGTAAAAAGCATAGAACGAAATACTTAATAAACAGGTTACCAGACTGAAACCTTTGCAAGGACTCCAGACTAATCGATGACCTCAGGAAATTATTGCAGACTTTCAATTTGTCAGTTTTAGAACATCAATTTTATCTATCTATCTATCTATTTATTTATTTATTTGAGAGAGATTTTTGCTATGGGATCCATGCACTTGCCAGAGAGACAAAAAGTGAGAAATCACTCCCCAGGGGGATGACCATGTCCAATCCCTTCTCTTCTATTCTCCTCTTGAGATTTTGGGCATGCATGCACATACATTAGTTTCAAACTTCTGGGCCCAAGCCTTGAACTCAGTTTGCTATGTAGGAATCCAGCAACACAACCATTACGCCGTCTGCTGGCACCTATTCATTTATTTTTTAATGATAGGATGTGTGCTCATGCCTAAGAAAGAAAAAGGGAGAGAGAAACACCTCTGACAGGGTCTCATCACACTGTGATCTCCTTTCCCCAGGTCACCAACTTTTTAGCATCTTGGGTGTCCATGCACAGGTGCACCTGGTGTGTTTTCAGGCTACCCCTGGGAATCTGTACCTGTAATCAGCCACATGTTTTTAAAGCAGTCTTGCAGGATATTTGAGTTAACACTGCAGCACAGTGGCTGGGTCCCACTGCTTCTTGATTCTAAAAATATCAGCCCTAAGTTAAGAGCATATTTTCTTAACTGAGTATGTTGTCTAGTAAAACTGTATACTTACTAAGCAATCACCCTACATTTGACTTATTAAATAAAAATTCATTAATATTTCTACAGTAATTTTGTTTGTGAGTGAAGTTGTGAGTCTGATTTTGGTTCAATAAAACATCATGTGGGCATAATCATGCTACATTGCAATTCAGAAATATTGTGTAAACATCTGATTTTGATTGGAATATAAATGACTTTTGTTTGCTGCAAAGTAGCACACTAATGAGGTCTCAGCCAGCAAAAGTCTAAAGCTTGTTCATACATTACTTTGGTCAAAGTTAAACAAAAATGAGTAAAGTGTAGTATTTGAAAATAAACTAAGTACCCCATTTTTATTTGTTAAAGAAAGATTATTGGTAGTAAAACTTGAAGCAACTGAAAAAGACAACTAATCAGCACCTTTTCTCACATTTAACAACTTGTTTTAGCATCAATATACTCTAATATATGTAAATATTTGAGTTTTCAGCTAAATACCAAAAGCTTTTTCCAAGTTTTGAATGAGCTACATATGTAGTTAAGACCTGTCAATATTTTAATGGAAACTCTGATTCTAATACTACACAATATTTATTCCCTTTTAATATACAAATACGGAATTGAATGATAATATTTTTACAAATTCTATTTCTTACTAGAAGGCTCTTGATATTCACTAGCAAATTTTTTAATAGACACTAATTAACAAAATAACTCTTTAGTTTGTCAATATTATTAACAGATTATGAGTAATAAAAATACATCTGCTAATCCTTTATTTTAGTCAGTTGATGAATTGGCAAATTATATTAAACGTATTCAAATTCTTCTTATACATATCATCACTCATTCTATTCATTTAAGTTGCTGAAAGTTACTGTAAAGTAGCCCAGTACAACTCCATCCATGGAGTGATTTAACTTACTCATTCTTTAAAATATTTATGATTTTTTTATTTTTAAATTTTTATACACATCCAATCACATTGTTTAGCTTACAATGTGAGCATTTCAATATGTGAACATTTCTCCCCAGTCCCATTGATCAAAATATCTTCAAATGATTAGAACACACCTCCCCATCCCGTCAATGCGCTATCTTCGTATCCCTTCTCCAAATGACCTTCCTTAGGCCCCACTCCTCCTCACACACCTCGATCTGGCATTCATACCCATCTCTTGTGTTTGTACAACCTTTACTCAATCAGTTTCAGTCATAGAGTGCACATACTCAGTATATATTAAGTGGGGGCATACAATGTTTCTCCTTCATAGCCTGGCTTGCCTCACTCAGCAGTAAATCTTCCATATTCTTCCACTTTCTGTCAAAAGCCAGGGTTTTGTTGGTTTTTATGGCTGAATAGTATCTGTTGTAGCCCTTTTTTTTATTTCATTTTCTTCCATACATTTCATCATTATTTGTCTTACAAAATGTATATTTAAACAAGTGAATATTTCTCCCTAGTACTGTTGATAAAACTACAAAATATCTTCAACAGATAATACCACACGTCTTTGTGCATTAATAGCACAAAGCATTAATGGCACATTCTTTAAAATACTGTTGTTTAATCGATCACTGATTATATTTTCCTGCTAAGTAATTAAAAGACATATACTTGGGGCCAGCAGGTGGCATGGTGTTTGAGGTGCTAGACTCCCACACGGTCAACTGAAGTTTGAGTCCTAGACCTGGCAGCTCATTCTCTCTATCTATTTCTCTCTTTATCTCTGTCTCTGTCTCTTTCTTATGAGTGCACATGCCCTATAGCAAAATTTTAAAAATAATAATGATGACAAATAAAATTAAATAAGTCTTTAAGGAAATAAAGAAAAAAAAGTCATATAATTGATACTTTAGAGATTAAAGAAAAGTATTTCCTCTTCTAAAACAACTCAAAATAAATACATATATAGATATATAATAAAACATCATACTTCTTTGTATTTTTGTTATAATGAATAAATGATCTAGGTAATGTGTTTAAAGTAAAATAATATAAACATAAAATTATAAAAGATTAACAAGTATTAGTATATATATCAGAAATAGCAAATATTGGCACTTGAATATTATGTATACAAATGGTGGTTGACAGGAGAAAATAGTAAAACAAATATTATGACACAGAAGAAAAGATTAACAGCAAAGAAATGAGCCTGTATAAACAAATCTAATAGATCTTTCCAAATATGAACTATTCAGTACCAACCAAAAAAAAAAAAATACCCAGTTACTGGGCAAGTTTTTATTAAAAAATCTCATGAAAGTAGCAGGAAAATGAAGAGAACGAAGAACTGAAAGAATAAATTGCACAATGCCTGTCTATTAGGATGGAAAGCAGATTTTCCAAATGCTGGTTATGAGTTATCAAATGACCTTGGTTCATAAAGAAAATCTTTACATTTAAAAAATATTTAAATGAAATAAACAAAGCCATCGCCAGTTACTGTCATAAATGGCATCTGAAAAATTTGAAGCTATTTTTTTGTTTATTTCTTTCTTCCATGAGTGAGAGAGTGAGACAGAAAGACAAAAACAGGAAGTCCAAACAGCGTCCTCGTACCACAGTCCACACTCGGTCTCAGCCAGCCCCGCTTTATAGGCATGCACATGCCAGGAGTGTTCAGGAAGGGCTCGGGATCAATACTGGAAACTTCCCATGTGGGTCAGCCTCCCAGAGAGCTTCGTTTCTGGTGTGCCACGGTCCAGTTCCTGAAATTCTGTTTTAATCACTAACATCATCATTATTTAGAATTGATACTGCATTATAGTCTTTATGTGCTAAAATTCTTGGAATCACTGGAAAATTTTCATGTATTCTTTCAACTTACACTAAACTTCCTAAAGTAACCCTTGACAACTAAATTCATTTGAATGGTGTGAGATAAAATCAAGTGATCACTCTCTTATTTTGTTGTTTTCTTTAGAGAGAATTTTTTTGCGATAGGGTGTGTGTACTCACCAGAGAGACAGAGAGAGAAAGAGATCTCTTCTCCTCCAGTCTCCTGTCAGGATTTGGGCATGCGCATACACACACCTAGCATGAGTTTCAAGCTGCTGGGATTGGAACTCAAACAGTGGTTGGCTATGTGACAGTCCAGCAATGTAACCATTACATCATCTGCAGGTCCTAAAATCAAGTGACCACTCTTAAAGAACAAAAACACAACAGCTAGATCGATCATTTATTTGGCCAAGTCTGAACATATGGAAATACCCAGTATTTGCTACCATAAAATGTAAGTTCTAATGGTGTGGTAGCATTATATAAATAGTGAGTCTCCATGGGCAAAGTGAGTGTGCTATAAATCAATTAAATCTTAGCCGCCACATGTAAGTTTGTTTTTTTGTTTTTTTTTTTTCCAGCTGTTGCTGATTTAGTCGAGAACTAAAAGAGGCCCAGGGCCTGCCTTCTTATGCATACATTATGAGGAAAGAGAGAAATGAAGCCAACAAATAAATACATGAGTATAAGAAAGGATATATGCTCAGTGGGGATAGTAAAGAAAGTTGAAATAAGAATATGATGATATTCATAGAGTACACTAAAAGATACCCTCAAGAAAGGGGATAATAGAGCAGTAGTTCTCACTATGGCAGCACACATACTAAAAAACTGGAACAAAACAGAGAAGACTAACATGGCCCCTGCACAAGGATGATACGCAAATTTGTGAAGCAGTCCAAATTTGGGGGATTAGCAGATTGCATAGCGGTTGCATCACTGGACTCCCACATGGCTGACTGTGGTTCGAGTTCCGGACCTGGTGGCTTGAAACTCACACTGGGTGCATGTGCATGTGTGCCCAAAATCCTGAGAGGAGATTGGAAGAGAAGGGACTGCAGCATGGCCATCACCCCATCCAGAGGGTGATTTGTCGCTTTTTGTCTCTCTGGCATGTGTACACAACCTACGTAAAAAAATCTTAAATTAAACACATAAACAAATGAACAAACAAAAAACCCTCATGCTAAGCATGTGTGCATGAGTGCCCAAGATCCGAGGAGGAGAATGGAGAAAAAGGGACTGTGGCATGGCCATCCTCCCTGGGGGGGTGACTTCTCACTTTTCCTCTCATGGTCTCTGTCTTGGCCTCTCTCTCTCTCTCTTTCACTCTCTCTGGCAAGTATACACATTGTAATGCAAAAACTTCTTTAAAAAAATAAAAAGAGCAGTGAACTTCATAAAAGAAGTGAGAGACCATGCCACAGGGACACATCTGGGGCAGTGTATTTTTATCAGAAGGCACAACAAGTATGTGATCTTGACATTGAGACTCCAAGGGATTTTTAAAATTCAGCAAGAGATAAGTGAGAAGGCCTAAGAATCAGGCTTTTCTCTGAAAAGATACGTAAGAGCGAGGCAACTATACGCCAACAAACAAGAAAACCCGAATGAGACAATGGACAAACTTCTCAACACATGCGATCTACCAAGAGTGAACCAGGAAGATACGCCTGAGTAGAACAATAATAAGCAATGATATTGAATCAGCAATAATCAGTCTTCCAACAAAGGTCCTGATGGCTTCAGTTGTGAATTTTACAAAACCTTTAAAGAAGTGCTAACCCCCATTCTATTCAAGCTATTTCTAAAGATCAAAAAACAAGGGGCCAGCATTTAGTGAAATGACTATGTCACTGGACTCCCATATAGTCAAACGCGGTTCTTGTCCCGGACTTGGTGGCTTAAAACTCACGCCGGGCATGAGTGCGTGCGTGCCCAAGATCCCAAGAGGAGAATGGAGGAGAAGGGATTGCGGTGTGGCCATCACCCCTGGGGGGTGAGTTCTTGCTTTCTGTCTCTCTGTCTCTCTCTGTCTGTATGGTGAGTGCACGCACCCTATAGTGAAAACCTCTCCAAAAAAATAAATAAATAAATAAATTTAAAAAAAGGAACTCTCATGAATTCGTCCTATGAAGCCTCCATCATCCTCATTCTAAAAATCGACAAAGACATGACATAAAAAAAGAAAACTACAGACCAATATCCCTGATGAAAACAGATGCAAATATTCTCAACAAGATATGATTCTCAAAATCATATCCAATGACGCACTGAAAAGATTATACACCATGAATAGGTTGGCATTATTCCAAGGATGATTCAACATGTGCAAAACCATAAATGTAATACATCATATTAATAGAAGGAAAGATAAAAATCATATAATCATATCAATTGATGTGGAAAAAACAGAAAATGCAATATCCTGTCATGATTAAGACTCCCAGCAAAGTCAGCATAAAAGGGACTTTTCTCAATACAATAAATAAAAGCCATATATTAAAAACCCACAGCCAACTCATAATAAATGAGAAAAAGTTGAGAGCTTTTCCACTAAAAACTGGACCAAGACAAGGCTATCCACTTACACCACTCCTTTTCAATATAGTACCAGAAATCCTAGCCAATGTAATCAGATAAGATACTAAATTAAAAGTCATTCAAATAAGAATAGAAGTGAAGTGGTCTCTATTTGAGATAACATGATTTTGTGTATATATATATATATATATATATATATATATATATATATATATATATATATATATATATATATATATATATATATATATATATATATATATATATATATATATATATATATATATATATATATATATATATATATATATATATACACATATATATATATGTATAATTCAAAAGAATCCACAAAAAATCCCCTAGAAGTGATAAATGAATAAAGTAGAGTGGCAGGATATAAAATCAACATACAAAAATCTATAGCATTTCTATACACCAACAGTGAACAGACTGAGGTAGAACTGAAGAAAGCAATGCCATTTACAATAGCCACAAAAGAAATATCATATCTAGTAAAAAATGTAACCAAAGAAGTCAAAGACCTCTATAAAGAAAACTATGAAAAACTTTAAAGGGAAATTGAAAATGATATAAAAAGTAGAAAGATATTCCATGTTCCTGGATTACAAGGATTTACATAAACAAAATGTCAATTCTACCCATATTAACTTATAAATTTAACGCAATCCCAATAAAATTATCAGAGACATTCTTCACAGAGTTAGAAAAAAATTCATAAAATTTGCTTGGAATCATAAAAGGCTCCATACCATCCAAGCAATACTGCATAATAAGAGGGGAGGGAGCAGGAGGCATCTCATTCCCTGACCCAAAAATATTGGATCCTTGGAAAAGTCATAAGGTATTGTAATAAGGGAAACAATAGGTGAAGGTGACTCCATTGTAGACTACTCTCCTGAAAATACTGCCACCTTGAGGTCCTGCTAAAAGCCCTATTAAAATTTTTCATTGAATGGGAATGTCCTCTCCTTAGGGTAGGAATGATGTCATAATGTCATCTCCCTGCTTACAGATGTCTCTTCCAAGATAACCTCAAAAACCATTTCTGTAAAACCTCCCCAAATGGAATGTGGCTTTTACTGCTTGATGCTTAAACTTAACTTCTATAATATGTTTGCCCAAACCCTCCCCCTTTTTTTAATGAATGGAATGGAGCCTTTCTTTGCCTTTTAAACCCCTCTCCCCTTCCCTTCAGGGCTCCAAGGTCTTTGAGAGATTTTAGTCCTCTCATAGTTGCCAGTTTATGAATAAAGACTCCTTTAATTCTACTGAGACTGGGTATCCTCTTATTTCTCGCTGATCAGGATGTAACAGTATTTTTTTTTCTATGTTTTTCTATGTAAAAATATGTCATGGCGTTTCCAGTGACCCAATATATTTCAAAGCTATGATAGGTAAAATATCACAGAACTGGTACAAAAACAGGCACACAGGCCAATAGAACAGAATGAAGATCCTAGAAATAAACATCAAAATCTACAGCTAAAACTGATTTTAACAAAGAACACAAGTTAATCCAATAGGCTAAAGAAAATCTTTAGCAAATGATGCTTGAAAAACTGGGTATGCACCTGCAGAAAAATTAAATTAGACCCCTATCTCTCAAAACTAAGAAAAATCAACTCAAAATGTATCGAAGATTTAAACATAAAACCTTTAACTCTAAGACCACTGGTGGAAAACAGAAGGGGAACTCTTGGAGATATCGGAATTGTTAAAGACTTTTAAAATAAGACCCACAAAGCACAGACAAAAATCTTACAAATAGCCAAGTGGAACTATATCAGGGTAAAAAGTTTCTGCACAGCAAAAATCACAATAATTAGACTGAATCAACTACCCTCAGAATTGAAGAACATATCTGCAAACTATGCCTCAGATAAGAGACTGATAACCAGAACATAATACGGAACTCAATCAGCTTGTCCTCTACTATAAAAACAAAAACAAATACAAATATATCCAATTAAAAGATGGGAAAATGAGCTGAGTGGACAACTCACAAGGAAGACAAAGAGAACAGCCAAAAAAATACAAATGCTCAACATCCCTTTTCATAAGGGAGATGCGAATTAAAACTGCAATGACATACCATCTATACCTAGTCAGAATCACTGTGGAGAATAATTTGGAGATTCCTCAAAAATCTACAAATAGATCTACCATATGATCCAGCAATCCCATTCCTTGGTATCTACCCAAAGGACAGAAGAATTCTTCATTGGAAAAGTGCTTGCTCATCGATGTTTATTGCAGCACTATTAATGATTGCAAAGTCATGGAACCATCCCAAATGCCCCCATATGGAGAAATGGATTGAAAAACTGTGGCACATATCTATGGAATACTACTCAGTCATAAAAACCAACAAAACCCTGGCTTTTGAAAGAAAGTGGAAAAATATGGAAGATTTACTGCTGAGTGAGGCAAACTAGGTTATGAAGGAGAGACACTGTATGTCTCCACCTAACATACACCGAATGTCTGCACTCTATGTCTGAAACTGATTGACTAACGGCTCTACAAACATAAGAGATGGGTGTGACTTTCAGATGAGGCGTATGTGGAGGAGGGGGGCCTAACGAAGGACATTTGGAGAAGTGATATGGAGGTAGAACATTGACAGGATGAGGAAGTGTGGGTTATAGGTTGAAGATATTTTGATCAACGAGACTGGGGAGAAATGTTCACATATTGAAATGCTCACGTTGTAAGCTAAACAATGTGATTGAATGTATATACAAAAAAAGAAATAAATTAAATAAAAAAAAAGAATGACTAAGATTTAAAAAAAATACAGAATGCTAAATGCTAGGGAGGCTGTGGTGAAAAGAGAACTCTCCTATATGTTGGTGGGAATGTAAATTACCGTAACCCCTGTGGAAAACAATATGGAGATTCTTCAAAAACCTACAAATAGAACTATCATACAAGCCAGTAATTCCACTCCTGGGTATCTACCCAAAAGATAGAGAATACATTCATTTGGAAAAGTACTTACACATCCATGTTTAGTGCAGCACTATTCACAGATACTAAAACAGAATCAACCCAAAACTCCCAGAGCAGATGAATGAATTAAAAAAGTGTGGCACAAAAACACCACAGACTACTACTTAGCCATTAAAAAAACAAACAAACAAACAAACAAACAAACAAAAAAACAATGAGACCCTGGCATTTGGTGCAAAGTGGATGAATATGAGAGATTTAATGCTGAGTGAAGCAAGCCAGACTATGAAAGAGAAGCATTGTAGGCCTGCATTCAATGATAGAAAGAGAAAGGCTGGAAGGTGTAAATATGGAGAGAGTAAATATGGAGAGGACAGTGCAGGAGGAT